TAACGTAAAATGTGTAGTACACTGGCAATTTTAGATGGCTTTGCTGTTGTACGATCAAATGAGTTTCCTGAATGCATAATATGTCTGGTTTGCTTAGGCTGTTCTTTATTTTAAGAACTAGTTCGTGAATATTTTTTCTTAATCCCCTACTATTCCACTGTAATATGCGACTTATTTCTTTTGTTTTCATTGCGGCGGTCACCTGTTTGCGTCATATTGTCTACAGAGTCTCCGGCTTGAGTTGGAGCCTGGAACTTAATCCGCAATTTTGCGATTCTAGTATGCGGGTAAGTGCGGCATTGGCAGGCATCTGGTTGTCCTTTGTAAGATTAATTACCTCAGGATTTGTGTAAGAGTTGTATCTTAGTTTGGTATTTTTTTGCTGGAGGAAGGTATTTTTTTAATGTTGGTTTTGTTGTTGGTGAGGTCACATTTCTGCTCTTAGTGTTGTTTGAGTTGGTTTTGTTTTTATTTTGTTGGGGGCGGATGTTGTCAGTGTATTATTTGTTTCATGTGTTATATTGTGATGGTGTGTCGAGGCCTCGTTGTGTACTCTGCTGTCTAGTATGTAATTTTTAGTGCTTTGTGGGGTTTATTTTGTTGGGATCAATGGGTGTTTATTGTTGTTTATCTCATTCTTAGCCACGGAATATTGTACGTTGTTTATTACCACGTACTTGACTATGATATTTTCTTTTATTGAGAATTGTCAGTCATGCGAATGTGGATTGTTTGTTTCTTTGCAGTTGGCACATATTTGCACTGAACCTTATGGGGTCCACCACACTTTCTGCATCTTTTACGAAGGCTTCACTTGGTGGTGGAATGCCCCCACCCCTGGATCTTGCCACAAAATCTCGTTTTGTGTAAATATCTATGAACACTTCTGAATCTGATTCAACATCCCTAATTAGTTAGTTTGGAGTTAAAGTCTTGAGGTTTCTAGTGAATGTAATGGGTAGTGGAGCATTCAAATCTGATTTGTCTTGTATGGAGTTTATTAAGGACATATTGATCTCGAATGAAACGCCCGATGTCAAATTGTCTAGGGAGAACTGAAATTTGAATTCACGGACTTATCTGCTGTGATTAGTTTCCCTATTTGTGATGGTGTTGTTGTTTGGTTTATATTTAAACTAATTAATTTTGGGGGTTCCGTTTTAGTTTCTGCTTTCGGATTTTGTTCCTTATCGGGCTGGGTGTTTAGTTTGTATAGTAGTGTGGTAGTGACGGGGTCAACTACATGCTTTGCACAACTAGAGCCTGAGGTATTTAGATTATTAAACAGCTGCTTGCACTGTGGATTTCTGTTGTGCGTGTTCTTACCTACACGGACATAAACAAATAGGTAGTAGATATCAGTTGATATCGAATATGTGTTTCTTAGTGAGTGAATCAACGGCTTGTTTGCTTGATTTTTGTTTGCTCTTCCTAGGTTCCTAATGTTTGTAGTCGATTTAACTTGTCTTATATTTGGACTTTTAAATGAGTGTAAGGATGCACTCTGATATGCCTGTATTATGCAGGTGTCAGTACTTTTGGCAGAAAATCTCGCAGTGATTTCAGCGCGAATTGTAAATGCAAGAATTTGTTGTTATGTAGGTAAATTAAAGATGGCGGCTAAGCGGGCTGCTAGGCGGTCTGCACTTTGAACATTTCCGGCTAGGCGGATTGGGTTCTTTTGTTATGCATATCTGATCAAATTGCTTGTGTGCAAGGTTAAAAAATATTTTTATTTCATTTTTGTTTCATTGTATCAATTTTTCTCGGATTCGGGATACTATTTTTGCTAGTGATATATATTTTTTTATGACAAAGTTGTTTACTTAAGACGAAATAGTAATACCTGAGAATTGACATTGAGTCCGTCTTACATTGGTAACAACATCGTCAGGAATTTAAAATGATTGGTCAGTATCAGGGTGATACTTTCTTCGCGTGATCAATGCTTCTAAACAACCTTTTTATGACTGGTTTTTAAGTCGGTCTATACTGGCGGACGTGACATAAATAAGGTAATAAGAGACCACATGACCAATCTCGATAGATTTGAAGTGATGATTTGAATTTATATAGGCATTCCATATATTTATTTTCCAAGAGAGCCATTCAAAACCTGGAAAGAACAAGGTGTGTTTATTTTAAATTTGTTGCCAGAATATATTATTCTTTGTCTGAGTTTTGGATTCAATAATTTAAATGACTTTTCTATAAAACAAAATTCTGAAAGATATTCATGGAAATTTATTCTGGAATCATTTGGAAATAAAGATTGATTCAAGTGAGGAATTAATGTTATTCATACATTGGACTACATCTGACGTCATCGCTCTCCATATTCGTCGGGACTCTAACCTGGACTATTTAGTGATAGGACATGTGCTTTTATTCTTAGAATCATATTTGGACTATATTTACTAACTGTAAGTCCTATTTACCAATGTTTACATTGTTGTCTAGGGAAAGAAATTCTTTTGTTAAATATTACAAAGCGTGTTGACTTTCACTCTTTTCTTTGTTACTGAGCACGAGCCCTCGTCACGTAACAATTTTTCTTTACCTTGGATGGTCCTGCTAGGCAGGTTGCTTTTCGTCATCGATGTTTCGACGATGGAGGTGGTGTTACGATTATGGATCTGGTGGTCAAACGATCTCTGCAAGACAGCACCACGCTACAACTTGCACGTCTGAGTGTTTCGGATGCTGTGCATGGAATGACTACAACTACTACTACTACTACTACTACTTATATTACTATTACTACTACTACTACTACTACTACTACTACTAATAATAATAATAATAATAATAATAATAATAATAATAATAATAATAATAATAATAATAATAATAGTAATCTCATCTTTATCTTTCTTTGTCAGACAGTTTAAAGCCATCAAGGTAAAAAAAATTAACATTACATGATGTGAAACAGTTTTTTTAAAGATTCTTTTTGACTAATATTGTTAAATGATTTGCATCTTAAAGTTTGTGTGGGTGTGGGTATGAGTGTGTGATATCGATTTCTAAAGTAACATATATATTCACGTATAAACCCATTCGCGTATCAGTCGACCACACCAACTGAATATAAACACTAAAAAGTGCAAACCACAAAATGCACGCGGTAGGTTATAAGTGCATTTAATAAGGTAGACTTATACTAGGAAAACTTACAAGTATACCTCTCCTAGTAACGGCATCATTTTGTTTCAAATAGTAACTTTTTAAATTTTCTGTTTTCTTATTTTATCTGCTTAATTCAAAGTGATATATAATTTGGTCAAACGATGCCAGCATTAACTAGTTGCTGTAACATTAACTCTTCCTTTAGACTAAGTTATTATTCATTGATGCATTATTGGACTGGACATTTTATATCAATGCACCAGTAGTTACGTTTTAAATTTGCCTTGAAATTGTATATGATAGCATTATGACAACACAACGAACAACAATACGGTTTTATTCAAAACTTGATGTTAGGCTACTTAATGTGCTTATCTGATGGCGTCACCTCATGTATACTGTTGGTTTCAACACGTGCTGAATGAAATACATCCCTCGCAGTCGAATAATGGGCACCACTGCATGGAACATTTATGATATCTCCAACATGCAATGAAACGAAGTTTCACAAATAATGCTTAGAAAATTATGTTAATACCGTAAACGCCGACTTGTAGATTGCTTTGATGTAAGCGAGCTTGCACCATAACTGTCAACTCACACCCGGAACAAAAAAAAAATCCCGATGTGTGGGGATGTTCCACGCCTACCTACCGATTTCACAATATCTAAAAAATTTGCAGTGAACTCAGGATTTTTACATATCTTCGCTTTCATGCCTCCTTAAAAAGAAGAGTCAAACATCAATAGATATGTAATACACTGAAGCCACGTTATGTTGTATTGTGTGTGAATATTGTTGTGACGAAATAATTACATTACATGAAATAACTCGCTTCTTCATTAAATATAATGTTTATGTTTACATATTATTCACATACATTTATGATTGTTTCTTTACCTCGAAAACAATAAAAAAAATCATACAATAAACAAGAATAACAAATAAACCACAACAATAAAATTGTCAACAATTAATTTCCATCCTAAGAATGATCACTATGAATGCTGCAATCCATGGCGCCATTACCAAAGAAATTTACATGATTGAACGCCTGGCATTTTTGTACTAAATATATTATATAAACTAATTACCATTATTAAAATAAAAGAAGGAATGAATATATATACCGCGGAGCATATGTGTCCTCAAAAAACTAATTCAGAATAAATATGTTTTATGGTAAACAATGCTAAATGCATTTAGAGTTGACAAAAAGGAAATAATGTCGGATATACAACGAAAGGAAAATAGTTGTCACATGTGCGGTACTGTAAGGCTGCATATTTAGGTACCTTTAATTTAACAGAACTGAACATCACATATAAGCCAATCAATTACTGGTGCTTGCATGACACACAGTACTGTAAAACATGGTTTATTTTAATTATGACGGAAGACCAGTCTATTCTAATTAGTCACGCTGGCTTTCCTGTTTCTTTATTTGAGATTAACCATTAGTTACTGTGCATTTGGCAGCAACAGGCCAGAATAAGAAAATATGGAGAAACGTCTCGTCATTAGCGCATTTCACGAATATTGGACCCAGAAGATCGGTCAATATATAGCGTAAAATTCCAAGAGAAATCTTACTATTTTAGGTCCCAATCTCTAATTATTTTTTTCTATATCATTCCATGGCTATTGAAAAGTTTATATGTATGCCTTATAAACTGTTTTACAAAACTACGGCAAATCGTGCTAATATTATGGATTGGAAGGCAATTACACATCAATGCACTGGTACTATGGACGGTCAAAATGTCCTCTTAACGCAATCCAGTTTCAAGGTTTTAATGATTAAATGGCCAAATCCACCAATTATCAACAAATGAGATACCAAAACATCAAACTTTCTAGAACCTCTCCGGAGGCCTAGTGGTTAGAGCGTCTGCCTCGAATGCAGGAGATCGTTGGTTCGATCGCCCGGTCGTGTCATAAGAAAGACTTACAAAAATGGTGATAGTAGATGCATCGCTTGGCGCTCAGCATTAAGATATTTAGTGTTAGGATTGGTCGGCCTGGTGTTAGGATAATGTAACTGGGAGGGGCATCATGCTACCTGTCTACGGCATGATGCCCCAGTGCTAGACATCACTATAAACTGCCAGACATGAAGTATGTTACCCAGCGCAGATCACATTATCCTGACACCAGACTAACCAATCCTAACTTTAACCTCGTAATCCTCAGCGCCTAGCAAGGAAATTGTCATTATCATTTTTATACGCCTTTGGCATGATTCGTCCATGGTTCGAACCCGAGACCTCCTTCATCCGAGGCGGACGCTTTAACCGCTAGAACAGCGGAGCCGTCCTTCTTTAAAGCATGATTTTTAAAAGGTAGAAAAATGTGTAAATTAATTGAAACAAAATTATCCCAAAGGTAATAACACCATCAAAAGTGGCAATTTTGGAGAGAAATTCAAGATATGGTCATTTCTTTTATTTTAGCTGCTGAATGTTGAAACCATCTGTGATATTCTACAGCAATAACAAGATTTTCGATTTAACTGCACTGTTGGATATACTAGAAGATGTATTGGCATCATAATAATTTGTGACCAACAACACGTCATGAGAAATCTTGTAATGGAAATCCCATGTTGACATGACTTTCTATTCTCAAGTTGTGTACCACGATAGCCACACTGGATTTCATATTGAAACCATTTCCAATATGAACAAATATGAAATCATAAGAAGTCTTGTGGTGAAAAAGAAGAGATAAGACGATTTTTAAGCCAGCCCTTGTGCTGACAATATAGGAAGTCAGATTCTGTGGGAAAAGTTTCATGACAGTATTCGCAGTAGATGAAGTGAAGTAATAATAATAAACTAAAGTTAACAGTTGGACAGACAAAAACAACATATGATAATATAAGCCCACCTGGCTTGTGTCAAGCAGCACATAATTTGATGTCATGTCCCAAAACATTTACTTCCATGTAACAAATTACTAGAGAGGGACAGGCAGTGACATTTTGCAAGGTTAAGATAATGTTAGGCAGCGTAATATTTCTATATACACATTGACTGTAATTTGCCAATACGTTTCCTATCCCTCCCCATTTTCAAGCATTCATAAAATTACTTTATTAGCTTTTCTCGTTGTCTCTTAAAACTACAATTCCAGTAAAACCTTTCTATATATATATATATATATATATATATATATATATATATATATATATATATATATATATATATATATATATATATATATATATATATATATATATACACAATTACTTTACTATATTTTTCGTTGTCTCTTAAAAAATGCAATTGCAATAAAAACTTTCTGTTATATGTATACATATACATATAAATTTAAATTATTAATAAACCTGATCAACAAAATCATAAAGGAAAAGATTATTATGTATTTTTATAAACATGAACGTAAAAGTCAACACATAACTGCATTTGATAGATCAAATCTAATATGTCAAGTAATAATTAATTATAGTGTTATTATCAACTTAGCTACACGTCCTATGTAATTTGGAAGCCACTGGTCATCAGATAGTGGATAAGGTAACACAAATATTGCACATTTGATGCTATTGTGAATAAAACTCTATAAAATAAGGGAATAATGTGTTAATTCATTCAAATATTACAGTAAATTCATCTTATTTGTTATTTAATACATCTAAGTGAAAGGGAAGAAACTGATAATTCAGTGCATCGATAATGGTGTCATTGCTTATTTCCCCTGAAAAGCAGATGATTGTATTGTTATGAATTGTTATCGCATTATGAGTTTATTGTAAATACATTTAATATTGACCAAACTGGAGCTTTGACTATCTTACATCAATACTCTGACTGGATAGTAAAATATCCAGTAAAATACGTACAGAACTCTCAAATTATCTTGCTTATTAATATTTTTTGTTTATAGGCACTATATGTAATATATGTGACTGACTGTAAACATATTTCATAAGAAACCGTACAAAAGGAATATGTACAGTATCAAAATTTGTACAGCGCCAAACATTAATGCCAGGTTCAAGATTCGGTAACTGACATCGTACAAAAACGCTTTAGCACTATATATGGTTCTCATCTTTCTTAACTGTTTAAATAGCTGATACAGAAAGACCTGAACAGATTCCAGCAAAGGCCCACTGGGCATTCTTAGTTATAGAAAGACATGACATTAAAACGTCATTTGATGCTGAACTAAACCGAACACGAAGGGCCCCTTATCTTGACGGTGATTGATAAGATGAATCTGGTGAACTAGGATAAACCAACTGTTTTCTAATAGTCTCTTTCTACGAGCATTAAAATGAAGGACGTGCATCCTCATGTAGAAACTGTGACTGGTAAGATGCACTTACAAAGGCCTCACTTAATCGTTGCATTCAGAGTGCCTCTCGGGCTGTTTGCAATGATTACATAACCCGTCTCACTGAAAACTGAGATAGGACACTCTGTAGAAAGGTATGATTTATGCTTGATAGTTTCTTTTATGAAAAACGTTGTTTTAGTTTTGTCAGTGTACACTGATGCTACACCGTTTCTTACACTGTAATGATTCAATCTGTCTCCATTGGACCGTTTGTCTATACACCCTCACTGACTAATGTATGAAGGTCCATGAAGGAATTGGACAATGAAATCTCTTCTTGGCTATTAATTGTGATAGTCTATGTCTAGTTTGTGAAACATGTCTGTAATAGATCACATGTACTTATTATCACTGTATATGTCTGAGATAGAGGACCAAATATCACTTCTAAATTGGAAATCATTCTTAGAATTGTCTCAAATCTGCTTTATTCTTTCTGAAAGAGAAGTTCCTAAATCGACATTCGTTCAATTTTTGCATCATTTGGATAATGGTTCTCTAAACCTACCCGAATAAATTTTTGGCGTATTTTTGCAAACGGTCCCAACTGCGTTATGTACCAATTGTAGCATGTCAGATTAGAGATTCTCTGTTACTATTATCTGAGGTGAAAATTTGCATATATCATATATTGCGGACTTTTGGTAACATTGTTATTTGTGTGCATAGACGGCACATCAAAGCAGAGTATCCAGTAAGATCCGTCAGTTACTACTGACCCTTTCAGGCCAAAATTCAATAATAAAATCGAATGTGCCCTGTCGTTCGAGAAAGTTGGTCTTCATAATTCTTAAATCGCATCAGCCAACCAAATTTAGTATGATTGGAAACGACTTTGAATAGGTTAATGAATAATTAGCAAGGGAAATGATTGCCTGCTTCAGTTATGGATCAAATTCATCGCTGTAATATAATATTGCCTCCGTTTTAGTGAATGCCTCTTGTATTGTACCATCTATCTCTCTTGTACTTCAAGTATTTGTGCAAAAAATATATCATATCCCTTGCATTATTATACAAGACATAGATTTGTATAAACTAATTGGGAGAAATGATAATACCAAGCACAATGGACTTTTAATTTTGGTCCTCCCTTTTAGAATGTATTCCATCTAACGGCAAAATGTTGGTACTACATTGCTAAAACTTGAAGGTAGCATTCAAAACTAGTTCAAATAACCAGTATCTACTTATAATTCCAACTTGGAAATCCTTTTTGGCCTCCGCAAAGTATCAAATAACTTATATGGCAGTAAATATTTGTAGAAGATCTATAATTATTTGATGGCAAACTTCCTTTATTCCATTTTATTAAATTTTATAGTAGTAGTAATCTATATTTCGTACCGATTGCTGTTACAGGTGAAGCCCATGGATTATGTAAAGGTTCAGTAATCCAGTGTTACGGCATATGTTTTATCTTCTATCCTGATAGCTAGGGTCAAGAGCTTTGGTTTTGTTTAAATGGCTGCACTTCACCTGTATTTTTCTTATGTTTTTTCGACTGATAACAATACATTTCCAGAATATTTGCTGGACCTACACTAAGTTAGCTATGCGTGGAAATTACGTTAGGTTATCCTTAGTTTCATGCATTATACTTGGCTTTTTCATACACTGACTTTAATTTTACTCATTCTCCGGAGTCATAGCTACGTTACTGTGCTTGGACAATATCCATACTTATCTTATAGGCTAACAAGTCTCAACGAAACTATGAAGGTCCATTACTGACCGTGCACCAAAAAGTTCACTGATGGCTTCTAATATGACGCTAGAAGTGGTTGGTTTCTCTGCTTCTAATTTTCCATTTAAAATCATTTTGTCCGGAACGGAATGCAGACTTTTTTTAATTTACATTGTATGAAGGTCGTTTTCGCCTTTGTGGAAGGTAACCGTTTCATACGCCACACAGTGACCTTACTAGCACTGGTTAATTGTTTCTACTGAAGGAATAAGCATGCCCGGGAGCGGAAACGGAGGAAATGTCCAGCAGTATACCCCAAACGTGAATTGGAATTTACCTAAGTGCAAAGAATTCTATTGATCAAATTCGGCCCAGTTATCTAATCATGATATACGCAATAGTCACAATCTCAGTTAGAGGCACTCTAAATAGTTGTAAATTTTCGAACACAAAATAAGTTTAATTTTCGAGCATTAGATTTACTTCCAAACTTCCAAATATTTTAATACATTAGGTCCAAGAGACAAATTGAATTATTTCTGCCGTGTCTAGTAGGTTTAGATTTCATTTTGAATGACGGATAAAATAGTATGGTTGTTTATAATAGTATTATCGAATTGGAATTCCAGGCCAGACTGACCATTTAAAAAAAGCAATTCGTTAGTAGGCCTTAATGATGTTGAGGTTACCCCTCTAATGACGATGACAAGAATAGCTGTAGATGTTTCGGTGTGGTGAACTTCTCTTTCACCCGACCTTTGTTGTCATTCATAGCAACTAGGTCTCCTAGTATCACACCCGTCCATATCAAATTTTGTATGAGATGGGTCTAAATGCTGTCGAATTTTTACAGCTCGCTTATAATCACTACCAGTATAGTAATTTG